TGTCACGTTCAATAAATATAATAAATTAATACTTCATAATTTTTTAATTAAAAACCAATACGTATATGTTATCGTGCAAACACTTTATGGTCAGATTTTTTGTTATTTTTTTGTGTTATTACGTAAGCACAACAATCCGAATTAAAACTCAGCAAACCACGATTTGTAAATCTTGCACTATAACATCGATATTGAATTAATATCACAAAATTTGTTCTGTCGGCATAGTCTCCTCACCACCATTTAAAAACAGATTAAAGTTCAAAATGCGTTTTCACTTATACGGTAATCGGACTGACCTGAACAAAATTTGACCAGAAGGAGCGGTTATTGGTTAATAATTTTACCTAATTGCAAACTCTTCAAATATCTGCAATATCAAACAGCAATTTAATTCAAGACACTAGGACCGAGAGACCTTTTTCTTCGGGCGAAGAAATTAAAGAATTGGCGCCTGCGCAAATTGTTACTTAGAGTCTGGAAATTTATATCTTACGAACAATGATATCGAATGATCAAGAAAAATAATATTTGCCGTGAAGACATTCTTTTCTTGAAAGATGATCTATCAAATTGGATTACTTATTGGTCCAGCGAGAAGAATAATACAATTAATTAGGAATTTTCATCTACTAACCCTGTGCGCGTATTTGTTGATAATTCGAATCTTTGGACTGAGGGAAAGTACACCGTTGGAAATCTCGAACGTCTAGGTGTCTTCGATTTTGACAGAAATTTCTATTGATTTAAACAAATCCAAACTGATTATGCACACTTTTCAATGTGGACGTAAACTCGGTAGCGCACCATTCTTTATCACCTGACGATTCATTGTGGACACACATTTGGAATCAAGGTTTTGACGTTAATATATTTGATCGAGACCGTGAAGTATCATAGAATTTACAATGTCAGCAACAGACAATTATATCCAATGATCCTGGTGTTTTTGTTTGGATTGCCCGTGATAGGGATTATGAACCTTTAATAAAACAAGCATTGAAATATAATTGAACCGTGGAGATATGGATTTGGAGCTCAGATAAGAAAATATCGTGTTCGAAGCTATATGAATTACTATTGGATTGCTTAATTCAAAATATCTTGTCTTTATAGAAATTTTCAGTTTTTTTTTATGTCAGATACGATTTCGCATGGGAAACCAAAATCTCGAGGTCATTGATAGTAATGTCATTCAAAGATTAAAAAATGAAGAAATATTGGAATGGTTTAGTACTTTAAACTTGTTCGGTTGATGGTACTGGAAAAGTCCTAGAGCCGTGCAATTTTATTTTAATAATTCGAATTATTTGGAGACGGATCCTGAAAAATTATTGAGAACTGCAGATTTAGAAAAAAGATTAAGAATGATGTTCTAACTTTTATGATATAAAATGAATTAAAATCTTAGCACAAAATGCTCTTAGAATTTGTTTGTATCGGCTATGATGAGATGGTCTTATGTTCTTACTGTATGTTTTTTGCTGAAATACGTGTTGATAAAAATAAGGTAGTAGACTAATAATATTTGTATGTGGTTATGCTTAGTATTTTATTTGTGCTTTCATTACAATAAAAAGCTTATAACCTTCACTGCGTTAAAATAAGAATTTTAACGTGACTTTTATACCATTCTTTATTCATAGGTAGTACTTTGAATAAGTCCGCATATTAAGTATGAATGCAGGTAGTAATACTATACAATGTTGGTTAGAGATGTTACAATCTGGCAAAGACCGTGATTTTTGAACCAGTTAATGTGGCTTCCAGTCAATAAGTTAAGATCGGTCTTAATAAGTCAGTTCATCATAAGAATATTAAGTATATACGATAACATTATTCAGTGAATAAATTGAATTACAGTACAAGCGCAAAATAACGTTCGTGAGCGTTATTTTAAAATCGCGTTCTTCAAAAGTAGCATAAAAAAGTATGGCACGGGGTGGTGCCAAGAATGCATAGAGTGACGCGTGCGTCATTACGTAGAGGTAAGGTTTATATGACGAAATGACACGCTTATTCACGTTATTCAAATGGCACGAAACCAGTGTTGATAAGTAGATGGCACGTTAAAGGCACGAAAAGGATTTATAAATTTACGTATAAATTACCCATTTCAAAATCAATGCCAACTGGACTAATAAACTGTCAAAAAACCCAGGTCATTTACGGGCCAATTGGCACTGATATACAGTCCAACACGGGCAAACAAATCGTACCAACTCGAACCTTTACATACAAATCCGGTTTTGATCCGTGACCAAAGGCCTGTGCCAACTCGTGCTTTACGATACATTCTTCTTATAGGGATGGCCTCCTATAGGCACCTCAAATTAACGCGCATCCCAATAAACTGGCGATTGTACCCGGCTTAAGATTACGGTTAGCCGGGTGGATGTATTAGTTTATTGGTCTGAATATTTAAAATCATTTTATACAAGTATACATGGCTATACTCATCAATCATCCTTTCAAGCTTGTACAGGTTTAAATATCTTGAAATTGGATTTAATTATATTTAAAGATGCAGATAAGATTCTGTTTATGTATCTAATCTCTTTACAAAGTAATTTCAGTTTATTCATTATATCTTTCTTGTAGAGTCAGGAATATGTCTAAATTTTGTACTTCTATTGGCCGAAGCAGACCGATCTTGAACCAAACTAAGTTAAAACTGGTTCAGCAGACTAATTTATAAACCTTGTTATGGTCTACCATCTGTTATCTGAAGCTGGCCTTTTGAACTAGGACGGACCGTAACATGCCTCAGTCGAGAGATATGTCACAGACTTTTGGAATTTGACCTTTATCCCAAAACCCCATTATTTTTAAAAATTGAACCCTTATTTGAAATTCTAGTTTATAGTTATATCGGGTGGGTGAAAGGTTTATAGATAAGGTCCTTTTTCCGCTAATATGGAATTTTTATAATTATTTTATTATATATACGTGATATAAATGTTAGACTATTGCTAACTTGCCCCCGGGGTGATATCACCTAGTTATATATAAAACCAATCAGATCGCCAGATCTTGCGTAACCAAAACAAAGCGAAGGAATAAAAAAAAACCCCCCAATTACTCAAAATTTTATTAAGAAAACTATGCTTCGACTTCTAAGCAAAAGTTTTCAACATCGAATTTTACATTAAACAATACCTCTTACCCTAACCTTAAGGTTATTTAATTTTTAATAAAAATTTTATAATATCGGATGATATCACTACGGGTGAAAATTAGGTTTAATCAATAAAGTAATTATTATATAAAAAAGCTTTAATTACCTTTTTATTTTTTATTAATTTTACTATCTTTCACAATTTTACTATCTTTCACAGCATAGCGAACATTCATTGTAATTGGTTAGATTTTGTTGATCATCTCGTGATTTTATTTGCTAATCACCTAATCA